ACTGAGCTCCTCACCCTATCTCTAAGGGTGTGCCCGGCCGCCCTGCTGAGGAAGCTCATTTCGGCCACCTGTATCCGGGATCTTGCCCTTTCGGTCATGACCCAAAGCTTATGACCATAGGTGAGAGTTGGAACGTAGATTGACCAGTAAATTGAGAGCTTCACCTTACAGCTCAGCTCCTTCTTCACCACGACGGACCGGTACATCGACCACATTACTGCAGAAGCTGCACCGATCCGCCTGTTAATCCCCTGTTCCATCCTTCCCTCACTCGTGAACAAGAACCTTTTAATAACAGTAAATATCCCAAAGTGACAATGAAGTAAAAATTTATTTGACAAAATGAAAAAAGAACACTAGTTCTCTCTAGAGTCATGACAGACTTTGTGAATCAAATGATTTGATAATTAATCAAAAGGTCAATTATCAGGTATGATACCGGATTTGGGTTTAATATAATGCTCAAAACCCCAGCTCTACCACTGTTTTTCATAAACATACATTAGTCAAACGAATTTGGCACTATCAGCCATCCATTATCTATGCCACTTATCCTGAAAAGAGTCACGGCGGGGGGGGCTGGAGCCAACCCCAGCTGACCTTGGGCGAGAGGCAGGGTCCACCCTGGACAGGTCGTCAGTCTGTCACAGGGCCGACATGTAGACAGACAACCACACACACTCACACTCACTCCTACGGGCAGTTTAGAGTCGCCAGTCAACCTAAGCTACATGTCTTTGGACTGCGGGAGGAAGCCGGAGCACCCGGAGAAAACCCATGCAGGCACAGGGAGAACATGCAGACTCCACACAGAAAGACCCTGGGTCGGCCTGGGCTGAAACACGGACCTTCTTACTGTGAGGCAACAGCACTAACCACTGCACCACCCCAATCTGACACTAAAATAAGAAAACTGCCCTCTTTATCTGACGCCCTGAGGCTCCACGGGATTTTTCACGTTGACCTTAAAAACTAGAGATGCACCGATTGATTGGCAGAGATTGCCAGTGGTGGCGTTTCAGTGTGATTGGCCTTGACCAGCTGATCACTCTGATATTTCCGATTATGTGCCAGTCATATTTAGAGGCAGGAAAATACATGTCATGTACGCCAACACAAGTGCTGTCTACAAAGCAGCATGAATGCCAAACTACTAAATTCCATGGTGACTGCAACATAACTGAAGTGAAGTCACTGATTTTAGTAGTTGTCAAATTGGCTTTAAAAATAAAATTCAGGCTGTACGTCACAAAATAAACTCAACTGATGACGGTGATGTGTGATGTTCTGTACCTCTGCAGCAGCTGCCGCCGCACCACCTTTAGCTTCCCCAGCTTCAGTCTGATCACGGGCATACACTCACCCACAGCCCAGCATCACACAGACAAGAGAGAGAGAAGGAAAAGAGAGAGGACAAACAAGAGACAGGAAAGTGAGAGAGAGGATGGAGGAAGAAGAGGTTGCACTCCAGCCCGCTACACCACCTTCACCTAGAGGGAGCAGAGGAAGTTTGAATCAATTTAAAATGTATTTATAGGAAAACTAGACTCAGCAGAAATGTGTGTGGGGTAGTGGAGTCCTTATTTTATTCCTGTATCCTTCTTAAACTCACCCAGAACATATAAATACTCACACAGACCCATATCTGAGATAAGTTGTGATTCTATACAACATATCTCTGCTCAGGTGATTTATGGATGCTGTACACCTATAGACACCTGTCCTATAAGGTCTGCAGGTTTCAGTTCACATCCACAGCTGCCTGCGCTTTGACTGACTCCAGTAATACTATAATTAAACAAGTCTGCAAGTCAGCCAGCAAATCTAGTTATCCAGTCAGCAGCAAGCCCTAGACCAGCAGTTCAAACCCCAAAGATATTTAGCTTACAATAATATACAACAGGGGAAAGCAGCAAACCTCCACATTTGAGAACTCGGAAACAGAAAAGCAGTTTTGCTTTTTTGCCATTTAAATTCTGTTGATCACGTAAATTATTAATTCACCGATTAACTGTTTCCGCTATAAAATTGCATTTTAACTCTGTCCCAGATCACAGAGCAGACACAGTAAACCCCTGAATCTGCCCGTTTCTCTAGTTCTAGTAATGGTGAGCCTGTGTTACAGAGCCAGATTGGTAGCGTAAATCTAGGTAACGTAGGTCCAGCAAGTTTTAACAGTGTGCCCAAGTTAAGAGCAAAGACATCACGTTAACTGCTTAACACTCTGTTTCATTTATTCTACTGTGCACTGTGTGTAACAAGACATAGGCGTACTGTGTGGATGACCCTGGTGTTCGAGGCTGACAGACGGTTAGTACACCGCTGTACTGCTCCAGGACGCCACGACTGAATAATAGATGTTGAGTCTGCAGCTGTTTGTCTATTCAATCAGATCAACCTGAACCAACATTTACAACAAACTTTTCTCTGAACACATTATGCTGCTACATGACAATCTTAGGACAGAGAACAGTTACTTTAAATTTAGCACTAAAATACTTAAAAACAATAGTAGGGAACTGGGAATCGGTTCCACTTGAGAACCAATTCCACCTGAATCCTATACCTCTGAGGTTATCAGTTCTTTTCATTGCTGCCGGTATGTTTTTCCTGAAAGTGGCACATTGAAAAAAAAACTTGTGCATTGTGTTGTGAGCCACTGCTTCGATCATGACAATAAGGAAGAAGTGGTCCAAAGCATGGAGCAGAACAGTTTTAACATTTAGTTCTTAAAAAATACAGTTTGATCCAAACCCATCTAGTTGCCCTTATGAATTCCATTCTGATATATTATAAGTTTCGACTTAACTCGTCTATTTTATGTAATTCAGGCTAACTGTATTCTATTCTCCTGTCTCATATATCCTGTACAGCTCTATTTTGTTCATTTCGTGTCTGTGACTGAAGTCAGCCAACTCGTCACACAGCTGCCATGGCAACTGTGGCATCGCATTAGTTATTATTACTGCTGTGAAAAATATGACGTGAGCTGGGGTAAATGAGAAAGAAGCAGGTGGGGTAATACAATGGGGAAACTGAACACCAGGTGTCAAGCCGTTATACAACAAACAAAAATGTGCACATCTTGTGCAGGGTGACAGTGCTCGCTTTACACTGTCACACACATATATTCAGTGAATAATGCATTCATAGAGTGAACATACAGTAACATGAGATAGGCAACAAATAGACATTTTGTGTTAGTCTTATTGTCAGCCTCTGTCTTCCTCTGTCCACCCGTTTATTTTGCCTATTTCACCATGTCTGCATGTTAAAGTGAGTTAACAGTTGGGTTTCACTTTGTCTCTGGGAGCTTATTGTCTTAACCTAAGTTTTTCTTCCATTCTCTTCCCCCCTTTCACTGCCCATCTGTCAGTGCTCTCCTTCAGCAGCCTTTGTACTTGGGCCAATACTTTAGCAGTGTGACATTCACCTACATGACTGGAGAGCAAAGGACAGCTAAGGCTAACTAGCTAAGGCTAACTAGCTGTGTACCCACTTTCCTGTTTATATATGAGCGTATAGGGATGCTGTAGATCTGAGAAAACAAAAAGAATTTCTATGAAATGGTTCATAAGTCTGCTAACACAATTCATACTGTGACAGAAAATCAAAGACAAGCAAGTAAAACTGCTCAGCTACTATCAAAAGTATGTTGACCTTTTTAGTCATAAACTTGAAAAAGTGTTTAGTTAAAAGTGCTTTAACTTGTGAATTAAAACCTGATTTCAGTTATGATCTGGACAAATTGTGCTAAACATAGTTGATGTTTTTGGTTTGTTTCCAGTTCCTAAAAGCTATTGCTTCAGATTTGAAATGTGGCAGGACTTGGCTGGTCTAAACTGAAGGTTAGAGAAGAAAGCTTGTGTCTGTCTGCAACAGACAGGGGTCCTCCAGAGAACTGGTAAGCTGGTCAGTAGGGCTGCATAATTCATCGTTCTTCTCAATCTCAATTCAGACCCCTGCGCTATCCATTACATCAAACCAAGCGCTTCTTCTCAATCTCAATTCAGACCCTTGTGCTATCCATTACATCAAACCAAGCGCTTCCTTCTCACTAAGCTACGTTAACCAATAACGTCATGTGATGAGCTGCACACAGGAAGAGAAGACTGATGACGACATCAGATATGCAGCAGTGTTTCACAGCTCCTGTGCATGACTGTGAATATGTACAAGATTCGATTAAACTTTAACGAACCCCTAGGGGAAATCGAGTATTATAAAGTGTTATGGTGGTGAAGTAGGTCAGTGCTGAGAAAAATATCTTAATGTAAAAAAGATTTAGTGGGACTATAAATAAACACAAGACAGCTGGTCAACTTGACTGCATTGCATGTGAAATGACACAGCTAGAAATAAAGAAGAAAAACAAAACAAGTGAGCTCGTGCAGTCCCAACATGCAGCTTGTTTTGCAGGAGATACCCAGCAGCAGATACTGGAGCTGAATGTGACTGGTCCCAGAGTACCGAGGTAAAACCAACAGAGGACCTGTGCTGATGAAAAACAGCGATCAAAGAGCTCAACACAGCGTGCGTCATCTGTTTTCAGAGTAAAAATGATGGAGCAACGCATGCAACAAAACGAGGACCTAAAATACCGCTACAGAATGTGCAGATAACGTTGAGGCAAAAATATTATTTGGACGAGTCTGTGACCTGCACATCTTGTTCTTTCTTTTAGATGTTTCATCACAGTCTGTGCACACATAATGGATGTAAGCATTCATCTCTCTCTCTGTGCACAAGAGCTCAGACAAGCAGGCACTGCTGCCCTCCAGCACAGACTGAATTAACTCACTACCATCGACAATATGTTCTTCACTGAAAAGTCTTCATCGATATAAACCTTCAATATGAACCCGTGAGTTGAGTGAAAGAAAAATTCACTGATGCTAGGGTTGGATGATGTCTACTGAATTGGCATACAGTGACTAAATATTACAATCACTGCTACACTGGTGAAACTGATGTGAGATCAGCTGATGTCTTACTAGAGATGACATCTCACTCTTTTGGAGTTGTTGGAAGCACAGAAACACACAGCTCACCCTGCTCAGTGGTGCTACAGAGTGATGCTTCTCTTAACTTATAAACCATCTTTAGATGAGAGCAGAGAGTGGTGTTATGCTGAAGCCTGTTTCCCTGCCACCCTGCAGAAAGCACTAAGTTTCACACTGGCCTAACCCCATTCCTGCACAAATATAGACTCAAAAACACCGACAGGCAGTATATCAGCCTTTGGGACCACTGTGAGTGTAAAACTGGTTTATATATGTGCAAATGTCACATGCCAATGAAAAATACTGTACTAGATGATGTGAGAAACAGAGAGCAGTGCACTAAACAATGCAGCCTTCTGTATCCACACACATCAGCTCTCTGCCATTCACACACTGTCCAAACATCACACCACAGACAACAACACAACTAACAATGACCAGGCATCTGCTAGAATGAAAGTGTCCTAGTACAGTCAGTCACTGTGTACACTAATTAGTCTTGAAATATGGAAATATGAAAGTACTAACTTAAAAAAACAAAACAAATCTGATTCACTGAAATTCTCTACCAAAAAAATAAAATAAAATTCAACCACAAAGTCGAAGCAGAATTGAAGGAATTCAACCAGCACACTGGAGTTTGTGGTGTATCTCAGACTATAACCACAATATTATCCTCAACAACAACCACAGAGATTTAGTTGAACCATTAATCCTGTTTTATTTGGTAAAATTATGGAGGCATATTTGCCTATCAAAATAAAAGCCAACAAACTGATCTAAATTCCCCAAATGTTTATTTTCAGAGTCTACTGAACAGTTTGTCCTCATGACATTCGTTAGTGTCTGACTACAAACAGGCAGCAGAGCCCACAGACACACACACACACACACACAATATGAAGAAGCATGCATCAGGAATGGTGTTAATGAGTCATGGCAGATCAATGAGTCATGGCAGATCAATGACCTGCCAGCCAAGATACTAATTTATTCATTTAACTGCTTGTTATGTCATCATCACAGCCTCAGCGAGAAGAAATAACCCGTATCAGAGGGGGTTTTAATTGGTTTTTACTGCTACACTGGGATCTCTGTATTCATTCACAGTATTAAAACCGATCTAATTAATGTGTGCAGAAAATTAAAATAAAACTTAAATCAATAAGCACCATATTGCTCAAAATCTGCCAATAACTGGAACAACAGGAAAACTTTATTTACTTTTGATTCTTAAATTATTATTAGATTCTAGATTATTAAAACAACAGTTTTAATAAAAAAAGCATCTTAACAAACCACTAGACCCATGGAGGCCTGGAAGGAGGCTTGATTCCCCAGACATACTGCGAAGTCTGAAGTGCCTTTAGGCAAGACAATCGATTCAAGCCGCTGTGCTGCAGACACAGGAACCCAGGTTAATTTTTCTCTCTTAACTGTGTTTGATGACATACCGTTTGTCTGTTGTGAAATTTCCCACAGCAATAAACACTCCAGCTATGCACTTTGTAGAAGGCAGATCGAAAGAGCACCAACACTACAGATCAGATATTTCAGTTTTTGATGTCTAATACATTTTTTATAATAAATAAAATCATGCTTTCATGTGTTGTCATTATGGCTTGAGTGTATATTGATGAAGAAAAACTGCAGTTTTATCCATTTAAAATATAAAATCCATGAAACACAATGTGCAAAAGGTGAAGTTAGTGGTGCAGCTGAATTGTAGTGTTTTAGGCCAGAAACATACAGTATGTCACACAAGTACATGAATGCTTCAAGCTACATGGGGTTGATTTTTGCATGCTGTTTTTGTCTGTGTTGCCAGAAAATCCTAACACAAGGCAAGCACAAGCTGTAATGCAGCTACAGGGCACTGTAGTATGAAGCAGCAACAGAAAGCGAAGTCCTTCTGCTTGGGTTAACTTCTGCTCAGAACAACCATCAAGCTAAAATACTATTCAGACCACGGACCCCCACCAACACCACCGTGGTCAGAAACACCCTTTCAACACTTGTCAAACAAAGGTGCGACTCGCATGCATTATCACACAGTTTATCCCGTTTTTCACTCGATGGCTGTATGCTCTGCATGTTTCTGCTGTTTGTATGTGGCGCCGTAGCCAAATGATACAAGACCTCATGACGTCATTTCAAGATGCCGGTAAAAGCAAGAGAAAACAGTGGCTCTGTTTTTAAAAACAAAACTATTGTCGAATGAAATATTAGATTTTGTTTTTAATTAATGACTATTTGAAAATTCAAAAACCATTCTCTATCCCTACACAGGAATGCAGATGAAACCGTTCAGGCCGAAACGGCACAGTAGCCACATTTCTCCATGTATGCCATGTTTGTTCATTACTGTGGTCATGGAAATGTTGTGAGCTTCAACTGCTGATATCGCCCCCTTATGGACTGAGCAGGATCCACTGACATACGTATATACGTACAATGAACGTGGCGTCGCCGCTTCCCTCCACTATGCCAAAATACTGTGAATACAGCAGCTGCCGTCTTGCTTTTTTGCAATCAGATTTTGCACAGTAACAACATTGGACTGGCGATCAAAGCTGTCGAATCATATGAAATACACTACTTTTTATATCATCCTGCTCACAAACTGTTTGACCTCCTGCCCTATGGGAGGCACTTCAGGAGCCTCTGGACCAAGACCAGTAGACTCAGGAACAGCTTCTTCCCCACAGCTGTCTCCTTACTGAACCCTGTCGCCCATTGACCCCCCCACTGCCTTGTTCTATATCACTACACACACCTCACCCCTTCTCATCTCTCCTCCTGGGACTAATGCAATACACTTCTGTTACCTGTAACACTGAAGTGATCTGTTAATTTGCTTACTCTACTCACAGAATACTGCTCTGTATTCATTTGCACACTGTTCATATGCTGATACTGTACATTTATCTTTATCTTTGCACTATTTACATCCATTGAACTGTTCACTCATGGAACTTGTCTTTTTATTCTGCACCGTTTCATTCCATCTCATCCCATTGCACTAGTGTTCCATAAGCTAATGTACCTTGTCCATTACTTGTAATTTGAATCCATAGTCTGTTGTACATTGTACATTACCCTACATACATACATACATTACTGTAAATATCAGTTGTACATATCTATCGGTGAATCAGCTCTGACTGTACAAACTAGATACTGTGCACTGCTGTTATTTCACTTCTGGTTAGATGCTAAACTGTTTCATTGCCTTGTACTTGTACATGAGTAATGATAATAAAGTTTAATCTAATCCATTATGTTTTGGACCTATTACTGACAAGTATTATATTGTCCACTCCATTTATTGTAATGAGCCCAGGCTAAATCAGCCACTTCTTTATCTGACTGTCCGTCTGATTTGACTGAATATGAAATGTTTGTCTCCGGTGGACACTTTGTTTTTCTCTCTAATGGTATCCTAGACAAGGCCACAGATTATTATCTCAGCCTGGCCACATTTCTGCCTCTCACACTATCACATCAGCACCTTTATGTTCAGCCTCCTCTTTTTGTAACAAGGTGACAACGCACCACTTGTCAGGCCAGAGAAAAGGTCTGTTTGAACTCAGAAAACCTGGATTTTAAAGGTCAAGCTATGAAATCGATGTGTTATCAGTTTGCCAAGATGAGCAAATGGCTCAGACTGTAGACAAACAAAATGACTTGCATAGTGCTTTCAAACTGTGACTTTCAGAGATCTCAGTTGCTCATAGTGATGATAAAAAATTTCTACCCTGTCACAACCCATCCTCATCCATTATTCCTTACACAATATAACCTTGTCTGTGTAACTGATCTTGGCTTGGTGACAAATGTATAAATGTCTGTCTATCTGGTGTCCTGCTGTGTGACTCAGGCTGCTAACAATCCTTAATGAATAAGAACCTAGACAGGTATCTGCCAGTGCGTAGTGAATTGATTTGTACTGAGCTATAGGATGAGAATACTGCAGAAACATGATTCACCATCAAGTCAGTTAAAGCAACACAACACACACACAAAGTCCCAGACCCTGGGCCAGAGCATCTGTTTCAAGCTAATGTTAACATTTCTAGTTGGACAGTCAGTCAAATGACTTGAAAAAGTCGCACACACACACACACAATTATCCAAAAAGATACAAAATCAATACAAAAACCTATAACTAGAAAGATGCACAGAAACACTACAAAACATGTAAAATAACTGATAAATGCAGAATGAAGAGATCCATAAGTATCACAGTGATAAAAGTTGGCTACTGCCAGGACTAAATTATGGGTTATTTAAATGTATGTATCACCCTGTAATAGTATGTTTGTTTTTATTTGTCTTACTTTTTTGTTTTTTCGTTTTCTTCACTCCTTACAATACTTTTTTATTTTACCCCACCTTTGTGTGTGGGGGGTGCATCTATAAGCACTTATGTGACGTCTATGTACATATAGTCATAAAAATGTATGTGGGTGAATGTGTAGATAGTGTGAATGTGTAGATAGTGTGGGTCTGAGCAAAACACCCGTTTCATTAGGTTGTGAATAGTGATAATATGAACCTTAAGTGTCTTAATCCGGGTTTTTCTTACTTCCTTTAGTTTTAGAGTGGCTGTTTTCTTGATATTCTACTTTGAAAAAAGACATTAAATGACTACAAAAAGCTGCAGACACCAAAATATGCTAAATTTCTACAAAGATTCAAAACTTAAACAGAGGCACAAAATCCTGCAAAGACACACAAAAGACTAAATAAATGCAGGATGTCCACAAAGAGATGCATAACACCCACAGAGACAAAGATGAGAAAAAGAACTGATGTTGATAATAATTCATTCGAACCATAAAACGTACAACAAAAGCTACTCAAAATTAAACTAGATAAGGGTTTAGCCTACCAGAGGAAACAAAAACTAATTCGGTGTTAATCCGCGTAACATCGTTCATCTGATGCGCCGGTGCTAGTCTGACAATGACTGAACTTATCTTAAAGAGACCATCGATTAATCAGACTGAACTTATCTTAAAGAGACCATCCATTAATCAATCCATTAATCAATCCATTCAACACTAACTGATATTTACACCGTGTAAAAGTCGTTAACCGACAACACACAATGAGAAATCATTATAAGATAAGAAAGAAATTAACATGGTTTTACCTGAAGGACACGAGCTGCTGATTAACTGTCCGTTTATTCTTCTTTTCGTAAATTTTTAACGGTATATTTTTTTTAAATACGCTCAGAGGCGCGAGCCACTGTGTGCTGCAGTGGTCTCGGGCAGCAGTGCAGTGTCTCGCGCTCCGTACTGCCTGTGAGGGCACGAGGAGGTACGGAACCGGTACGCGCCCAGGATGGAACTGCAGCAAGAAGCGGTGGGCGCGAGGAGCTCCACACAACATCTTGGTTACGTCACCACAGCCCCGCCCCTTGTTTCTTTTTTTTAATTATTAGTATTATCAATAATAGCGTTGATGTTTTTAAAGGTAAACTTTTCCCTGGCTTTTGCTTACAGCCATTATTTAGCTCATTTGTTTTAGTACATTTGTATTTAACCTAAATGTTTTATTTCTATACCTTCATAATTGTATTTGAATATTATACCTACATATTTTTCTCTTTCACTTCACTTTGCCATAGAATCTATGGTACAGATCCTCTAAAAGATACTGTGTCTTTATAGCTTAACATAGCCTACTGTATGACTGTGTCTTTTTTTCCTCTATTCAGACTTTCTGTACGTTATGTAGGCCTGGATCTTATTTTTTAAATGTACTTTGCTCTTTAAAAAAAATTCATGAAATTAATGTTTAGTTTTAACTTTCATTTGTTGCCCATCTGTATGTGTGTAATACTTCAGAGGACTGGATATACAGCCCTACAACAGCTTCTCCGTGGACCTTATGCTCATACTGTCACTGTGATGGGGAAACTATCAATTACTTCACACTGGAAGAAGTTAAACTACAGCAAAACTAGAGAGAAATGGTGTTTGGTCAACTAAAATTACTTAGAAAACACAGTTCAAAGTACTTTGTAAAAGGTGATCATGCTGACAATGTATATGTGTTACAAAACTTTAACATAAAAGAAAACTCACATACCAGCAAAGACACAAAAACCCTGTCCTAAATAAAAAATCTCATGAGGTTTTCACAATATTATATATTTCTTGTAAACACACACACACACACACACACACACACACACATATATAACTAAAAGTCCCAAACTTACAGTAGTTGCAGTAGTTAACTACACAAAAAATGGCCAAAATGTAAAACTTAATAAAAATATGAATGTAGTTTAACCACCAGTGAGCTACTGCAAATATAGTTAAAATACTAGTTTAATTACCTGAAGTGCAATGCTCCCCTACACTGGACTGTCAACTGTGTCCAAGGTTAAGAATGAACTTTGAAGCTCAAGCTATTTGTACGGTTTGTGTTTCTTTGAATAGGACACAAAACTGCTGCGTATGAACAGCCCATTAGCAGCAGACTGTTAAAGTGGGCAGCTCCCAGGTATGAATGTGAGTAACTGCATGATAAAGCAGGGCACTGTTGGAAATTAACACTTGCTCTGTAAAAATTCCCTGGATAAATAAAGGTGAAAACAGTGTCAGACAGGTTATCAAATGTTTCTCAGAGGAGAAAAAGAAGAAAGAGTAAAGAGTAAAAAAAAAACATATTTTAGTATCAGGTCAAGTGTACAACACACACACACACACACACACATGCACAGCATAGATGCACATAGGCTGGAGACATACTGTACACACAGATATCACCACACACAGAGTCGCTGGGCTGCCCTCTCTCTGGTTATGCAACACCTACGTAGAGCGTTGCCATGAAAACTCGGCGCACCTTTAATCATAATGTATTGTATCTGGTCAATATGGGTCGCCATGGTGACAGAGCCATCGCAAGGGCAACCTGCACAAAGAACACGTCTCCCACAGGAAACAGCTTCATTACAATGATGTCATCACTCAGGGCACGAGTGGCGGTGGCTGTAAAGATGTGTGCACAAAGCAAAATGGACAAACACAAGACATCCATCACCTTTACATCCCCCATCCCAACCTGTGGCCTCCGAAGAACCGGGAGTGACTGCTTCAGCATATCAGGCAAGAAATAAGGCATGTCTGAGTACAATAGTGATGTTTATAAGTATTTGTTTTTAATTTTATTGGCACACTATATTAATCTGCTCTCCCTTTCAATACGTACGTTCCAGTCTCCTGATGTGACTTAGGAGACAGTTGTGGCCTAGTTCAGCAAGGTAGATGCTGTATATTATACCTTCCCACAGTATCTTCTACAGTTTGGGTTTAGTGTTTTTCAGTGATTAGAGTCACCTAAGCTCATAGTTTGTTGTGTGTAGGGACTTTTGAAGTGGTCCTGAACAATGTCCATCTACAGTGGATTGTATGTAGTAATCTGACCGCATATGGAGCCATACTGGCATTACGTACACGGCTACACTTGCCTCATTACCTTGGCTAAGCTTTGTTTAGTTTAAGCACCATTCAGATGAAATGAGACTTAAGGAAGTGGCAAACCTGCTTTTTCTCTCTGTACATCCACAGTTTCAAGTGGAAAATTACAACTGTTTGTATCCTAGTGTTTATTATTCTCTGCACACTCTTCTCCTCTATTAAAGCCTGATCTTCCTCTTTCCTCACCTCCCTCCCTCGCAGTCATGCAGCATGACTGAACAGCCCATTAGGATCCCTGCTGGTCGCATGAGGAGCATTGAACAGAGATGTATATACATTAGCTCTGCAGAACTCAGAGCTCTGCTGCTCAACACTTTTCCTCACAAAGATCTAAAGTGACACATATAACACACTGCAGTTTTATTTATTCCTACAGGAGAGATTAGGAAATTATTTAAATTTGCCATTTACTTGGAAAAAACCTGGGAGAAGAGAAAAAAGCTCTGTATTAAAAAGACTTGTAGATAACTAGCATTTAGAATGGTGTAAGCTTTTTCAACCACCCCGTTTTTCTTGTATATGATACCCAAAGATGTATATTTTGTTAAAATAATGGTGTGTTGTACTCCTATGTGGGACGGGTCAGTTGTCTGCCATAACACAGATAAAAATTAAATTAAAACTAACTTACCTATTGTAAGATATTACCCAGTTCTTCTAACCAGGAACTCAGAGAGATGAAGCGGACCACTTGGATATATAAAAAATAACCGTGCTGGTTTATTCAAAGGATCACAGGTAAAATTAACATTACACGTCCAGGCATCTTCCACCCCGAAACCTGCGCGCAGGCAGCATGGAGGATAAAAGACCCTGAACCCTCATGCCTATACAATTTTATCCCTTGGTTGGGCTAGCCCATGCTACACAGGAACGTCAACCGTGACGTCACCTGATATGCCAGCTTCACAGCTGGCCGTAGCAGTAGTCAAAACATGGAGAGAATCAATGTGTGTGTGAGTGTTGATCATGTGGTGTGTATCTAAAAACATACAGGACGTTCAGGGACATGTCCGGACATTAAGCCTCGGAAGATATTATGATTAAGATTACGGCTGAACATATCATGCTACTAGCAATATTCATCCTGCCTGCAGACTCTTCAATCTAGTTGACCTTGGCCTAGATGCAGCCTGCAGAACTCCTGACAATGAACTGAGCATTTAACAGCCTGAGCTAGACATCCTGGTTACACTAAACATTCCTATACAACAAGTATCTAATCAGTATCTACCTGAGTAAGAAATTACCTAACACTATACAATCTTAATGACTAAACTAGTCTTCAACTTGCATCTCTTTAGGCAGTATGAACAGCTTGAACACTGGTGTAAATAATGAGTCCATCTTTTCACTTGTCTCTTTATATGACACACGAGCCGTCTTTCAAAATACTTATCCAACGGGCTCCATTTGGCACAGAACGTGTCCCTGAAAAGCTGCTCACATGCACCACGGTAACACTAAAATACAAAAAGCATTTCCTTTTATGGCCCCGACTGTGGTTTCAGTAGTTAACTACATAAAAAATGGCAAAAAGTGATTAAACTACATGAATCACTATGCAAATATGAAGGTAGCTGAACTACCAGCAAGCTACTGCAAAATGTAGTTAAACTACTAGCTACTAGTTTAATTACATGCAGTTCACTGCTCCCAAATACTGTTAATTATCATTAAGTGTTAAGCACTTTGCACTGCATTACCAAAACAAACCCCTTGTATGTGAAAACTTACTTGGCAATAAACCTGTTTTTGACTCCAAGTCTGATGTACAGTACATACCAAACTGTGGTTTCAGAAACCTGGACATGCTCCTGGAGTACTCCAACAGAAACCAGCATGTAAACACCTGATCACAGTGTCTGAACACAGTAAAACAAAAGCATGATGGTCAAAGATGATCTAAAGGCTGAAGCATACAATGAAAATGCACCGTTGGGCTTGTTTTCAGTTGTGTTCAGAAATATTCTATCGAGTGCAGTGTTAAATGTGGCTGAGCTCAGACAGACACAGACAAACAAAGAACCTTTTACACAACTGGGATCTTCTTACTGCCTTGCATAATGACATTTTACTCCCTATATATTTGCTGTTTCAGGTTTGGAAGTGATAAGGAAATGAGACCTTAAGCTGTTATCACATCTCGCTGCGATAAATGACTTGTTAAGATGAAGATTTTCTGCAGAGCAAAGCTGTCTAAGGCTGTTGCCAAGTCCAAGCAATGAAACTGTTCACTCAACCAACAGAACATTTAACCAAAAAATAAAAACGTGATAAAAAAAACCCACACTGTAATAAAAAAAAGAACAACCGATTGTTCTCCTGTGACCCTCGGCCTCCATGTCTTCGTCATGTCTTCTCTGTAATGAAAAAAGCATCACAGGATTAAAATGTAAACAAAGACAAACATGGGTACCAGAGGAGAGAGGACAAAATAATGTATGTGCATGGTGTGTGTGTGTGTGTCAGGAGTCCTCTGCAGTGGAGACTGTTATGTAATGGCAAGTCTTAAAAATGGGGGGGCACTGCAACAGTAACAGATATCAATCAAAACACAGACAGACACATGGAGAAGATGGATATCAATCACCACCTCCTGCTGTGACTAACCTTCACTGTCTCTTTCTTTCATTACCCATATTGCACGTAAAAAAAAAGAGAACATGGAAAGTAAACGTGTTTGCATCCACGACCCATCTGTGGATCTTATTGGGTGCTTTAATATAAACAGTCACACAACCCAACATACAAAACAGTTAGAAAAACATCCTGGAAAAGCAGTTGGAAGTTCAGTTAAGAACAGTTCTTTGGCTAAACAGCGGCATAAACAATAACATGAACACTGTTGCCTATAACAGATAATATTTTTGTGGAGATTTTCACATTTGTGAAAATATTCA